AGAAGCCCCAGAAGGCTTCAAACATGTCTCCCAGGCGCCCCCGAACGGCCTCTCAACAGACCCCAAGAGGCCCCCCAAAGAAGCATCTTGACGACGACTCTATTTCGCCCCATCGAGAGACGACCCCCAGGGAACTGCTTCACCATCAAAACTCCCCACGCAACGCGTCCGAACGACACCCGCCCCCAAGAGCGCAACATGGGCAACGAACACACAGACAAAAACCAGCGATGCCATATCACGGGCCGGCGGAATGAGCGAAGCGATTCAATATAAACTGGGACTGTTATCGGCCCTACTTCTACACACACCACTGCTACTACTACAAATACGACTGCTAATACGACTAAGACTACGCCCACGACTAACACTACGACTACAACTACTACTAGTATGACTAAAACTACGATCAATACGATGTTGGCTAGTACTTGTAAAAGTGTTCTACTGTGAAAACTACTTCTAGTACTAGTAGGAGTACTAACATCAAAACGGCTACTACTGCTCCTAATCCTACTACTACTACTACTACTACTACGACTACTACTACTACTACTACTACTACTGCTACTACTGCTACTACTGCTACTACTGCTACTACTACTACTATTACGACGACTACTACTACTACTACTACGGCTGCTACAACTAGTGCTCCTACTACTGCCACGACTACTACGACTACGATTATTACTACTACGATTACTACTACGACTACTACTACTACTGCTGCTACTACTACTACTACTACTACTCCTACTACTACTACAACTACAACTACAACTACGACGACTACCACTACTACTACTACCACTACTACTACTACTACTACTACTACTACTACTACCACGACTACGACTACGACTACGACTACTACTACTACTCCTACTACTACTACTACTACTACTACTACGACTACGACTACGACTACGACTACGACTACTACTGCTACTACTACTACTACTACTGCTACTACTACTTCTACGACTACGACTACAGCTGCTATTTCCACCATTACTACTACTACTACTACTACTACGACTACTGCTGCTACTACTACTACTACTTCGACGACGCCTACTATTACCACTACTCATACTGTTACTCCTACGACTTCTACGGCAACTACCGCTACTACTAATACCACTACAGATACTACTACTACTGCTACTGCTACTGCTACTGCTACTGCTACTACTACTACAACTACTACGTCTGTTACTACACATACCATTACTACTGCTACTACTCCTACTACTACTGCTACTACTGCTACGGCTACTGCTACCACTACGACTACTACTCCTGGAACTACGAATACGACGACAACGGCGACAACTTCTAAAGCTACTACAATTGCTACACTTGGGGCTGCGACTACGGCTACGACTACGCATACGTCTACTAGTACGATAGCTACTACGGCTACTACTACAAAGGCTACGGCGAAGACTACCTCTACTACCGCTACTACTACTACTACTACCACCACCACCACCACCACCACCACCACCACCACCACCACCACCACTACTACTACTACTACTACTACACTACTACTACTCTACTACTACTACTACTACTACTACTACTACTACTACTACTACTACTACTACTACTACGACTACTACTACTACTACTACGACTACTCCTACTACTACTACTACTACTACGACTACGACTACTACTACTACTGCTACTGCGACCACACATGATATTTCTACGTCCACTGCCAGTACTACTACTTCTACTTTAACTACTACTACTACTGCTACTACAACTACTTCTACAACTACGACTACTACTACTACTACTACTACTACTACTACAACTACTACTGCTACTACTACTATTATTACGACTAGTACTAGTACTTCTACTAGTACTACTACTACTACTACTACTACTACTACGACTACTACTACTACTACCACTATTACGACGACGACTACTACTACTAATAATAAAAATAATATTATGACTACTACTACTACTACTACTGCGACTACAAGTGTTAATGCTACTACGATTGCAGCTGCGATTGCAGCCAGGACTAGTACGACTACTACTACTACTACTACTACTACTACTACTACTGTGGCTACACCAAATTCTACTACTGCGGCTACGACTACGATTACGACTGCGACTACGACGACCACTTCTCGTAGTACTACTACTACTAGTACTACTACTACTACTACTACCACTACTACTACTAGTAGTAGTAGAAGTACTTCTACTACTACTACGACGGCGACTATCACTACTACTACTACTACTACTGCTGCTACTACGACTACGAATGATTTAAGTCGTTCTCTTTGACGTCGCCGTCATTTGCATCAACGCCAGCATCGTCACGTTCATCATAATATTATGTATTCGAAAACTATCCAAAGACATTGCGTGATGGTTGTCGAGCGCAACGCTTAGTTCAAGGCAACAGAGCTGCACGCCCATGTTTTTTGTTCCGGAATTCGTCGCTCAAATCATCTTGGCCTCCAAGAACGCAACCCAAAGATGCCTTACATCAGATTCTGCGACATGTTATGTTGTTAGGGATGTCTCACGCGAGGGTGCCAGTTTCGAGGATCCGAAGGGTTCGCCAACGATTCGAGCATCTGTATGTTATGAAAATGTCTCGGACGAGAACTACATGTTTAACATAAATCGTCTTGGCCAACCCTTCCAACAACCTACGTGTTCGAAGATGTCCATGGCGAGAACCCCATGTTCAAAAATTCGGAAATTACGCCAACAAGACAAACTTTCAAATGTGTAACCATATCCCAGACGAAACACCTATGTTTCGCATCCGACGTCTGGAACGAAAGGCTATAACATGTCAGTTGTGTGCGAATCTCTCAGGCGAGACGCCCATTCTGGGCAACCTTCCCTGACAATATAGGAAAAGCGAGAAATCGAAGAGCATGGCAAGAGCGCGCGCCAATTCCGCTCGGCGCTCTTCTCGACTGCCCACAAGGGCCTCAAGGGGTACGGGGTGGAGTTCACGGCCCGCGCAAGTTCGGGCGCAAGAGAAAGAGCCAGAACAAGACGGCAAGGAGGAGGAGCGGGAGGGGACACAAAAAGGTGCGGGAGAGAGCTCCGAGGATAAAAGCCGGCAGACCCGAGCCCTGAGCGAGAGGGAGGGATCGATTTGACTTGGGCTCGGCTGAGGAAGCGCACCCTCACTCCGGCCGGGCCTGGGAGAGGAGCGGAGGAACGAGGGGAGGGGCCGAGAGGGGGAGAGCGGAGGAGGGGAGGGAGGGGAGCAGGAAACAAAGAATGAGGTGGTTCGAGGGGGGAGGGGAGTGAGGGGAGGGGAGGGAGGAGAAGGGTGAGGGGCAAGCTCGGTGCGCTCGCGCCACATCTGACATCCTACCCATCCCTCCCATCCCTTCCGACTTCGCTGTCCGTTCCCATCCGCCGAAGCTTGTCATAGCGGACCTGGCACTCCAATGAGAAACCCATCGTGCTATGCGCAATCGGAACCAATAGAGCTGCGTGCATTGGAAGAGGTGGCGGATGAGCATGAGGATGAGCAGGAAGAAAAAGAGGATGAGAAAGGAGGAGGGGGGCGACATCGATGAGAAAGAACACGGATCCTGGGAAATGGCCCGCGCTAGAGCGAGAGTGCCGTTTTCAATGACGGGAGCAAAACGCCGATCCAAAAATGCGGCCCACGCACGCTGCAGCGGACACACCAGCCTGAAACACCGAAAACAATAGGATTGCAAAGAACTGTAATTACAGAACCACACTTGGTGGTTTCCTTGGCTAAATAAACCACATGTTACACTCATGAGTTCTCGAAATACATTGCTCGGAGACCGAATATCTTCCGGACAGACAGAATCGGGGGGAAAAGGAAAGTAGTGTTCATTACGTCTACGTTGGTGCGCTCGCGCCACACCCAACATCCTACCCGTCGCATCCCTTCTCACTGCGCCGATTTGTCTCTATCTTCCAACGAGTACCATAGCGGACCTGGAACACCCAAAAGGACCCCATGCCTTTACGCGCTATCTGACAAGAGGAGCTCTCTACATTGCAAGTAGGGGCGGATGGGCAGACGGATGAGCAGGAGGAGGGTAATGATGAAGGAGGAGGACGAAGGACGAACAACAGCAGCAGGATCAGCAGGAGCACGAGGAGCAGAACAAGCAAAAGGACCAGGAAGGCGGGGGAGGGAATAGGGAAGAGGCGACGACGAGGAACATGTCGGATGCGAACATGTGGCCCGCGCTGGGGTGGGAGTGCCATTCTGAACGATGAAATCACAGTGCCGATCCTCAAACTAGGCCAACGCTGCAGGGGGGGGGGCGAATTTGGAAGGACTGGGAACGCCCGGATTGGGAAACGCATGAGCAAACCGAACTCGTACCAGTCCTGTGTAGATGCAAGAAACGCGGAGGGCCGCGCCACTCTCAGGGCGTCTTCGGAGAGAGGGGACTGGCGCCCAGATGGTGCATGTGTGAATCAAGAGCCACTTTTTTCCGTCGGCGGCGAGTCAGAGTTGGCTGCACCAGCGCTGAAGCTAGACGTGGGTACCGAAAAACGAATTGTGGCAGAATGTTAGAGTGGGAAAGGGACAGAGCGGGCGACCGCGGGGGGGAGAGGAGGAAAAGGCCACGCAGAGGTGAATCAACAAACACACACAATAAATATAGACGCTCGGAGGTACGCGCGGAATTTACGGATCAGCGCTGGGCTCAGCTCCCGGATGTGCCGGAACAAGCCAGGGGCTGCGCCAGAGGCGCCGACAGGGGGCCCCCGCGCAGGTCCAAGAAATCCGCGCGGAGCTCCGAAAGGTTCTGCTTGTGCCATTCCTGCTCCCTCGGAATCCTGGAGGGGAGGGGGGGGGGAACGGGGGAGGGGAGGAGGAGGGGGGGGAAGAGCGGCAACGGGCGCGAGGCGGCAGGCGCAGTCTAGCGGCACGGGTCGGGCGGGCCGGCGAGGGGGGGAGTGCTGGGCCCCGGTAGCTCTGAGGTCGCGGCAGCTGCTGCGGGGTCTGCTGGAAATGCTGCTGCTGCGGTGGCGGCTGCTGCTGGAAATGCTGCTGCGCCGGCTGAGGCTGCTGCTGGAAGTACTGGTGCGCCGGCTGAGGCTGCTGCTGGAAGTGCTGCTGCGGTGGTGGCTGCTGGTGGTGGTGCTGGGGGGCCTGGGCCACCCCTCCGTCTCCTTCCCTTGTGGACAACTCCTCCCTGTCGCACCCTCAGGCGTGTCGGCAGGACGTGCCGGGCATTGCGTCTGAGAGTTCCTCACCATTTAACGTATGACTTTGACGCTCGAAAGTGTGAACAATTACGAGAATGTAGCACAGGTCGTTTGCAACATGGAGCTCTCGCTCTAGCGCCGAACACACTAGTCTTAAAAGCGTGCAGCACTACAGGGATGGGGATCATGTCGTTTTCGCAGTGCCTCAGTGCTGCGCGCGTTCCTGTCAAGAACCTGCAGCAGCTGCAAGGATGAAGGGCGGTTCCTCCTATGGGGCTCTCGCCTTAGCCCCGCGCGCATTCATCTACAAAGATGGAAGTGGGCTGTTACTTCTGCTGAAAACGGGACTCTCGCCTGAGCGCAGCGCACATTCGCCCCAACTGCGTGGACCAATTACACGGATAAAAGGCTTCATCTCATGATGGGTCTCTGGTGTAGATGAAAGGCGGTCCCTTTGCAGAATAGAGCTCTCGCCTTAGCGCCGCGCGCATTCGTCTTACAAACTCGCAACACATACAAGTTCTGCTAAACATGGCAAGTTCTGCTAAACATGGCGCTTTGCTCTCATGGCTGGCAAGTGGATGCTAAACATGGCGCTAAACATGGCGCTTCGCTCTCATGGCTAAACATGGCGCTTCGCTCTTATGTCGATGGAGATGGATGGCAAGTTCTGCCACACATGGGACTCTCGCATTGGCGCAGCACGCACTCGCCCAACAGGCCTGCAACAACTACACGGACGAGAGCTTCTTTTCAGAACGCTCGCCTGAGACGCTTGCAGTCATTGAAAAGATGAAGGGCGGCTCCTGTTCCCAATGGGGATCTCGCTTGAGACGGGGACGTGCGTTTCTCCAGAACGGATTCCTGTGGCATTCCTCATCGTCCGATCGAGATGTGCAACGCAGTTCCTTTTCAAAACGGGGGCTCCCGCCTGGATGACAGGGTCATGCGGCGCTTATTGAGGTGAGACGGAGCCTTGAAAAGAAGCCTTGTAGGGACTTATGGGGGGGGATTTGGGACGGGAGGGTGTACTGCAGCATCGCTGATGCATATTGTGTTTACTATGGTCTTCCTCCTTCGTCGTGTCCATCTCCACCCCCATCTCCATCCCACACACCCGCCCGCGTCTTCTTCGTCCTCTTCCTCCTTCTCCCTCATCCTGGTGGTATCCTCCTCCTCCTCTCCCTTCTCCTCCTCCCCCTCCTCCTCCTCCTCCTCCTCCTCCTCCTCCTCAACTCGCTCCGTGCCCACGGAGCATCTCCTGAGGCGTCCGGTCCGTGATGGGGACAATCATGCCCGCGGGGCGCTGATGATCGCCAGAGTGCCTCCCCACTCAGGGAGGGCAAGCGAGCGCGCACAGTGCTCTGGCTTCAGGTGCTGCTGTTCCTGGGATGGGCAGCGCGCGGGTGAGAAACGGTGATCGCATTCCTGCCCGTGTGGACTTCGCAGGACCTCGTCAGCGCTGCCAGGATCGGCGCGGTCTCGCCGGCGCTCCGAGGCGCGGGCATCACTGGACGGCCAGGTTCGCGTGTGCGACAATGGTGGCGAGAAGCTCCCCACAAGACGTCGACGGCCTGCAACCACGACATCCGTTTCGGGTGCGAAAGGGCGCGCAAGGTGACCAAGAGCTGCGGATGCGCACTGTTCCTCTCGAAGCAGTCATTCGGCACCACTGATGTCAAGAAGATCGTACCCGCGCCCACACGAATACGGGGCAGAGCTTGCGCCGCCTACACCGAGTCGGGCCAGCTCATGTTTGCGGTGTTCATCTTGTACTTCCCACCGCGCCCATCAATGACAGGCAAAGCTGCCGTCTGGAGGGATACCTCCGGAGCGCTCGCAAAATGGGCGAGGGAAAACATGTTAAACGTACTCCCCCCCATAGATACGCCTGTGTTGCTCATTGACCTCAGCCCGTAATTGGCCCTCCACATCGAGAACCCCGTGGTCGGCACCTTCGGCACGGAGACGGAGGGCTACCCTGGCAGGCGTGGATGGAGATGGAGGTGGAGATCAACACGCCGAGGGAGGTGGGCCACGCGTACTACGGCATGCGAGGCGCCTCCTCGCAGATCGACCACAGTTGTATTCCACAGGGTGACAGTGTCTTGTTTCCACGGGTGAAGAGATGGACGAGGACGGGCAAGGCCATAAGGGCATCGCCTGTGACTCTCGATCATGTGCCAGCCTGTGATTCTCGATCAGGGTCGCCCTAATCAATCAGCGTCCAATACGGGAGAGGTGAGAACGACCACGCACAGCAGGAGCTTTGATGAACGGCACGGGAAAAGACGAATTCTTGAATCATCTACACGACAGCTTCCAGGAGACCAAGCCGTCGCTCGAGGTCCTGGAAAAAAGAGAAACGATGGGAGGACATGCAACACTCATCATGGGCACGATCCGAGAGGTGGCGTTTGAATACATCCCCCCTGACGATGGCCAAGCAGGAAAACGAGAAGAAGCCGGACGAAAGACAATAGGAACCACTGAAAGAAAGACGGGGTGACGCAGGCGACGGAGGCGGAGGTGGAAGAGGCAGAGCAGGACTCACGATCAGATACGAAGAAGCTTGGTGACGCTATTCGGACCTATTCTCAGACCCTTCGCGCATTGAGGCGCAGACGGGATCGAGATTAGCTGGCCCATCAAGAGGGGTGCTTCGACAAGCGCGCCAAATTCGAGATGTGGCCCTTGTACCGAGGCTGGTTCGTTCCATTGCTCGGGCTGAAACTGGAATAGAAAAAAACAAGAGTTATCGATCCTACGCATCCTGTAACCCGAGCAAAGCTGAGTGGAACACTCACCCTGAGCAAAAGGGGCTCGCGGGCAAAGCGATATCCATCCCTTTCTCTCACATCCTGGATTCGACACGAATGGAGGACCTGAACAAACAAAGATGACTCCGCCATCTCCGACGAGTGCGACGTCGGCCAGGATGACCTCACTGGGGGCTCGGAAGGGCGCCAAGACGACTGTCAAAGCCGTTCGTCGCACGAAGATCGAGAAGTTTGCCTCGTAGTGTGGCCGGCGACCTCAGAGATTGTCAAGAAGGCGGTGGATCCAGGATGGTTGAGTGGTCAGCCTGTGCAAATGGGGGTAGGGTGCGCCACCAGACACCCAGATGGAAAACGAACCTCGAGACCTAGACCCGCACGCGCGACTACAGCTTCGACATCTGGACGTTGGGGAAGCCAGGCGCAGATTGCTCAGACTTGTGCTACACGTGCGACGAGTGCGACGGCTCTCCATTCAGGCATCCTCGTCCTGCGGCTTAGGGGCTCGAGCCGCTTTTCAGGAACGGCCGCCCCCAGCCACCAGCCGCCGCGGCGATCGGCTGGCGCCGCCACTCCCGCGCTGTCCCCGACGAGACGAGGCAGGCCAAGGAACTGGCACCGACGTGCCCGCCTGAAGCGCCAGCAGGCGCGGAAGGTCATCCAGGCGTCGCACGACTTGCTCGCACGACACCACAGCGGACAGCCAGGGAGATTGCCGACCATGGGACACGGAGGCAAGGGCAAGGCCAGCAGCAAGAACGGCGACACCAAGGGCGCTGCACATGCTGGACCAGCTGGTGGACACAAAGTCCGCCCTGCCCTTGGACAGCCCCCTGCCCATTCATGGACGTGCTCACACTGCGCAGTAACAGTCAATCTGACAAAGGAGTGGTGCTGGCAGTGCGGACAGCACTGGAAGGCGCCCAAACCATCCCAGCCTGCCGATGTTCAGGCCTGCCCGTGGCGGGCGCACGCGCAGCAGGGCGGCCCAACGGACGACGAGGGCACGGACTACAGCGGCGTCATCCAGAAGATCCAGGCGGCGTACGACGCGGCCGAAAAGGTCAGCAAGGTGGATGCCAAGCCGTTGCAAGCAGTACTTGACACGGTCCGCGCCCGGCGAGATTCGGAGAAGACACCGATGCAGATGGCTCCGACTAAGACCCAGAAGCTCGGGCAGAAGCAGAAGGCTCTGGAACGCCGCAAGTCAGCCCTCGAGGAGTTCACCCAAGAAGCGTTGGAGGCGGAGATGAAGCTAGCCATGAAGAAGGATAAGGTCGCGAAGGAGGAGGCCGCCATCGAGGCCTGCATCAGCGACATCGCGAAGCTAGAGGAAGAGCAGAAGCAGTGGCTTGGCAAGGCTCGGGGCGAGCAGCAGCCCAAGCCAGCCGCGGCGCAGGTGGCCGAGTCCTTCAACGGGCTCCAGGCGGCCCTGGCGGCGCTCGGCTCGGCGGCTGCAGGCGACCCCAACCTCGTCCGCACGTTCACCGAGTTCGCCGCTGCTCTGAAGGTGCACGGGCAACAGGTGCCAGCTGCTGCGCAGGCCCCCGCCGACGGTCAGCCGTCAGGTGCCGCAGCCTCTGCCGCGCCCGACGGGGCCGCAGGCGGAGGCGCGCCTGCACCTGCTAAATCAGACGGGGGCGCAGCCCCCACCGCGGGAGTGGCGGCGACAGCAGCTCGGCCTGCTGGGCAGAGCGCGACCGCACCTGGAGGCAACCAAGGGAAGGCGCCAACCGCCGCTGCCGCCACCGCCCCCGCGAACGGCGGGGATGAGAATGTTGGGGGGGGGGGGGGGGGAGGGGGGGGGGGGGGGGGGGGCGAGGGCGCAGCCGCTCTCGTGGGTGACCAGATCGCCTCGTCCCCCCAGCTGTCTCAGTCAACTGAAGGGGGATGTCAGGTGCGGCTCTTTGAAATTCTGCACCGTCAACGGGTCCTGCTGGACCACGATATCTGATTTCCTGACATCCTGCAATGCGTCTATTGTTTTTGTTCAGGAGCATAAGCTTAGTTTAGTTGGCACTTTAGAGGCCAGGCAGAAGCACAGTAGGAGGGGCTGGGCTTCTTTCTGGGCGCCCTGCCTGCGTGGGCCCGCTGGTTTCCCGAGCGGGGGTGTAGGCGTCATAGCTCGTAAGCATCTAGACCATTGGGTAGAACCCCGCACTCTTGG